TGTACGTTGCCCTTGGTGAAGAGCCGCCCATTTTGGTTTCCCATTTGTGCCTAGTATTGTATTATTTTAGATTAGATCGCTATTTTCTTTTTTTTTTGGTGCTTCTGATCATTGAACAATGACTATACAAAGGAAGGAGGTTCTACATATTAATGGTGAGGGGTTTTTTTTTAAAAACCGTTTATCGAGATCCCAGCAAAAGGAATCCAATATTATACAAAGTACAGTAATGTGAGAGCGTGTTTACATAGTAGGGATTACATATAGAAACTGTAGAAAGCTTGTACAGGGATAACACAGCAAGGCCTCTCAGAATCTCAGCAGCATTCAGTATCCCAATACACTGGCCTCTTGTGGTATACTACCAGCTCTGAATGGACCGATCTGGGTAAGAAGGCCATCTATATGGGACTGAACAGAGAAGAGAGGGCGCTTAAGGTATCAAATAGCCAAACAGAAACCTGAACGGGAGGAGAACAAAGAAGAACACGTATAGGACCAAAAGGTAGAGAAAAAAGAAGAAAGGGAGAAAAAAAAAGGGGGGATGTGTCAAATGAGAGGGGGGGAGGGAATGGGTCAGCTCTGGTCTTCCCTTCCTACCCTCCAAAATGGTGGGGGGAGAGAGAAGTCCGGTTGTTTCCCTCCTGCAGACGGGGGAGCTAAGAGTCATCCCAGCGTGCAAGAAATGGGCCATGTCTAGTGTGGTATTTTATAGGTACGTTTTGTATTGTGGTGTGGTTTTTTAAAGTGGATCCAGCTGGCCCATGTGGTGACAAATTTGGAACTCATATGAATGACTTATTATTATTATCATTTTATATGGAAACTAGGGGCAGACTGACAACTCATGGGGCCCTCGGGCAATAGGGGATCATGGGGCCCCTGTGTTCTCACCCACACTCAAAGCACACCCAAAAAACTCCTATGAAAGAAGGTGCCAGGGGCATCTCTAGGGGCCCCCTACTGACCCCAGGCCCTGGGCAGTGCCCGAGTTCCCAAATGGTCAGTCCGCCCCTGCCAACCAACAGTTTGCTCAGCGTTGTACAATATAACGGGAGACATTACAGCAACAATACAGTTCAATACAAGAGGGTTAGGAGGGCCCTGATCCTGGGAGCTTACAATCTAAGAGGGAGGGGCTAGTGGTACAAAAGTTAATAACTGTGGGGGGTGGACTGGTAGGAGGAATAGAAGATTCCATTATTAACTGAAGGCGGGATAGGCTTCCCTGAAGAGATCGGTTTCCAGAGATCGCCTAAAAGTGAGCAGAGTAAGCGATAGTCTGATAAATTGGGGTAGAGAGTTCCAGAGGATGGGGGAAGCTCTGGAGAAGTCCTGGAGACAAGCATGGAAGTAGGGGACAAGGGAGCTCCAGAGCAGGAGGTCGTGCGAGGGAGCAGAGAGTACGGTTTGGGTGACATTTGGAGACAAGATTTCTTCAATGTTGGTCAATCTGGTCAAGCATTCCCTGACCGTCGGAACGCGTGTGGAACGCCAGTGCACTGGTATGCAGAGTCTGTCAGCGGTAACCATAAATATAGCTAAGGATTTATGGTGGGATTCCTCACATAAGGAAGTGTAATATAAAAGGTATTGGGCTGGTTTATAGTCCAAAGGTAGTGCAGACACTTCTGCGGTAATCTAGTGGAGAAAAATGAGAGATGTGTAAGTAGAAGTTCTGGTGTTAGAAAATTAAATTTGGTGTATAATGTTTTGAACATTTGAAATGCTTAATTAGAGAATAGTTGGCTTATTAACTGCTTGCCGTCCAGCCACTGTATTAAAACGGCCACAGGGCGGCACCATGCGCAAAATCATTTTTGAAAACGTCATTTTGCAAAACAGATAGGGGGCATGCATGAGGCCGCGCACGCCCTACCCGCACCGCCGATTGTGGCAGCGGCTGTCAATCACCGGGTCCCGGCCGGTCATTACCCGTCAGATCCTGGTGATTACCGGTAATCACTGACAGGGAGCTCAGCTGCAGTGTTTACACTGCAGCTCTGCTCCCTGTCAGTTCCCAACACACTGTTCCTGAGAGCGGAGTTTAGCTCTCGGGATCAGCGTGTTCCTGTGAAGAACACACACCCCCCCCCCACTAGTAAAACACTCCCTTCACACAGTTAACCCTTTCATTTAATAAAAATGTTAACCCCTTCCTCCCCAGTGCCATTAGTAGTGTCAGTGTTTTTTTTTTTTCACTGATCACTGTATTGGTGTCACTGGGGATGTCAGTGACCCCAAGTCAGTTCCCCCCCCCCCGTGTCAAAATGTCCGCCGCAGTCCTGCCATAAGTCGCTGATCACTGTCATAAATCTCTGATCACCGCCATAAGTCGCTGATCACCGCCATTATTATTATAAAAAAAAAATCCCAGTATCTTTCCCGCCATTTGTAGACGCTATAACTTTCACGTAAACCAATTAATTTACACATATTGGGATTTTTTTTTAGCAAAGACACGGAGCAGAATACATTTTGGTTGAAATTTATGACAAAATTTGATTTTTAAATTTTTTTACTGGACATTTTTATAGCAAAAAGTCCAAAATATAGTTTTTTTTTTTCTCAAAATTGTCAGACTTTTTTTTTTATAGCGCAAAAAATAAAAACCGCACAGACGAAAAATACCACCAAAAGAAAGAAATACTGCTACAGGGTGGGCATGGGTGCGCAAAATCACACACATATATATATATATACGTCACGGTATAGGGACCCGGCCAATTATTAATTCCTGATTAATGATCCGGAGTGCCACAAGTTCTCTGCCAGCCCAGTTATTAATTCCCAATTATTAATTCCTGGTTCCTTTAATCCCTCCTGGCCATAGGAAAAGCATCCTCCAATGATTGTGTTTCTTTGTCCATCCTGTCTTGTGCCCAGATGTCCTACATCCCTGATTAGTGCCCTCCACAAAAGGGTCCCAAATTCAATTAGTGTATACTCCCCATTGTTATCCTGTTTACAGCTACAAATCCAACTATTGTGTTTCTTTGTCCATCCTGTCTTGTGCCCAGATGTCCTACATCCCTAATTAGTGCCTTACTTTTGTATTAATGTATTGTGTTTCCTTGTCCATCCTGTCCAACCAGTCGTTTGCCTAAATATAATATCCTCCCCACTGTCCTCCTGTTTACAGCTACAAATTAAATTATTGTAGTTCCCTTCCTGTCCATTCTCTCCATTGTCATCCAAAATGTCCCTAAACTCCATTGTCATCCTGCTAATGACCCCCCTCCACCTCTCGTCCTGCTCAGGGGGTTTAAGAGGTCAGTGTTGGTCTCTCCTGTTGAGCCATTTTGCTGTGCAACCACTGAGGAGTCCAGCTGCGGCTCGACTCTAGTGGCTCCGACTCTGCCTGAGCCCCATTGGAAGAAGGGGGACCCCAGACTCTACATCAGCTTTACCTGAGACTACCACATCAGCTCTGCCTGAGACTACTGCATCAGCTTTGCCTGAGAGACCCACATCAGCTCTGCCTGAGACTACCGCATCAGCTCTGCCTGAGACTACCACATCAGCTCTGCCTGAGACTACCGCATCAGCTCTGCCTGAGACTACCGCATCAGCTTTGCCTGAGACTAGCACATGAGCTCTGCCTTAGACTACCTCATCAGCTTTGCCTGAGACTACCGCATCAGCTCTGCCTGAGACTACCGCATCAGCTTTGCCTGAGACCACCTCATCAGCTCTGCCTGAGACCACCGCATCAGCTTTGCCTGAGACCACCTCATCAGCTCTGTCTGAGACCACCGCATCAGCTCTGCCTGAGACTACCGCATCAGCTCTGCCTGAGACTACCGCATCAGCTTTGCCTGAGACCACCGCATCAGCTCTGCCTGAGACTACCGCATCAGCTTTGCCTGAGACTACCGCATCAGCACTCAGCTTTGCCTGAGACTACCGCATTCAGCTCTGCCTGAGACTACCCGCATCAGCTCTGCCTGAGACTACCGCATCAGCTCTGCCTGAGACTACCGCATCAGCTCTGCCTGAGAGACTACCGCATCAGCTTTGCTTGAGACTACCGCATCAGCTCTGCCTGAGACTACCGCATCAGCTCTGCCTGAGACTACCGCATCAGCTCTGCCTGAGACTACCGCATCAGCTCTGCCTGAGACTACCGCATCAGCCCTGCCTGAGACCACCGCATCAGCTCTGCCTGAGACCACCGCATCAGCTCTGCCTGAGACTACCGCATCAGCTCTGCCTGAGACCACCGCATCAGCTCTGCCTGAGACTCCGCATCAGCTCCAGACCACCGCATCAGCTCTGCCTGACACTCCCGCATCAGCTTTGCCTGAGACTACCGCATCAGCTCTGCCTGAGACTACCGCATCAGCTCAGCCTGAGACTACCGCATCAGCTCTGCATGAGTGTATGCTTCCCTTGTGTTATCTGACTGCTTATGAACTGCCTCTCTTGGATTACAAACTGCTGTAGAGACTTTAACTTTGCCCACCGGGGCTGGATTACAAGTATTTTGGACTCTCTCTCCCTGCACTACTCCCCATTGAGTGACTGTTGTCTGGTTTAATAAAGCTTTAAGTGTTTGCCGTCTGCCTTGTGTGTTCTGTCCTGCCTACCCTCCGTCACAATACATATACATGATTCGCGCTCCCGTGGTTTTCATGCCCCTCCCAGATGGCGTCAGATTGCCCGTCAGTACACCAGTCATCACATTTAACCCCTTGACTGCCAGGAAGACGCTCATACACAATAAAACCCATTGCTAGTATAGTGTCTGAACGGATCAATATCTTTGATCAGATCAGCACTATACCAGCGTTCACATTAGTATAGTGTCCCAAAAAATGCAGCGTTAGTGAGATCAGCCCCGGCACTTGCCAGCACCTGCGTTTAGTCTCGATGCTTACCCCCCCTTCTCCCCCAGCAAGTGCAGTGTCAGTAGGTCACTGTCACTGATACTTTGCACACAAAACTGCAGTGTTGGCAGAATCAGGACCTGATCTCTGTTAGCACTTGCCGGTAAATTTTGAGGACTCTCATATGCAGCAGAGTGCCAGTACTAGTGCCTATATGCGCTACCTTTTGGTGAACTGGCGAGCACCAGCGTCTAGTACATCCTGGTCTTTCACATATCTCTTAGATTGCAAGCTCCCAGAATCAGGCCCCCCTAACCCTTTTGTATTGTTGCTGTATTGTCTCCCGTTATACTGTAAAGCGCTGAGCAAACTGTTGGCACCATAAATCCTGTATAAAATAATAATAATACCAGCCCTGCAGTATGACTTGGTGACGTGTGCAAGTCCCATAAGTCCAGTACAAGCCGATGTGATGGCGAGCACAAGTATTGTCCCGCGGCCACCAAGAATTCACACACAGGCCCACAGAGCTCCTAGTATCTTTCCGGATGTGCTTGCAAATCCCATTGACAGCCCACAAATTCTGCAGCACCCGTACTTCCCCCATTCACTGCCAACCCGGAATTCAGGTGGAAATAGCAAATTGAAATACTCCCCTTGATTTTTGGAGCTGTTTTTCACAGAATATCTGTATGCGTTGATTGTGGATCAAAGCATTTTATATGCACAACAATTTATCGCCACCAACCCAAATTCAAACCTTGCCAGACCATTCGCATGGAAACTCATTACGGTTTCCGAATTTACTTTTTTTTGCCCTTAGTAATACCCTCAACATGGGCATTACTAAGAAGAATGAATTGCGGTTGTATTGGTCCGCAGACCCGATTCATCATATGCCGTGTTCTCTGCTGCCATGGCAGGCATAGATATGAGAGTATAATGTGTTTTATGCATTTCAATGACAATACACTCTGTCATCCTCGGGGTGACCCTGAATTTGACCGGCTCCACAAAATTCAGCCCCTCGCAAATCACCTTAACCAAAAATTTGCAGATGTCTATACTCCCCAGCAAAACATCTGCGTTGAGGAGTCCCTCATTAATTTTTCTGGCCGCCTTGCATTCAAACAATTTCTCCCTTGCAAGCATGCCAGATATGGGGTCAAAATGTAGAAGACCTGTGAGAGGACAACAGGCTATACTTATAAGTTTCAGATTTACGAGGGAAAAGATAGTCACGTGGAGCCCCCCGGATACCCAGACTACATGAGGAGCAGTGACAAGATAGTTTGGGACTTGGTGTCATCATTTTTCTATATGGGGTACCACTTATACGTGGACAATTTTTATTCAAGCGTGCCACTATTTAGACATTTGTACAATCTTGGAATTGGCTCATGTGGCACCGTGCGACCTAATGTGTGCCCACCATTAGAAGTGGGTGGATGCAGGGTGGTATATTCTAATGGTGGGCATACCACACACTTTTTCTGGCAGAGATTTATTCTCTTTTTTCACAGGCTGCATGCAAAAAAAAAAAAAAAGAACATAGCATACATACTCAACAAGGACCAGCGACGTACTGGTACATCACTGGACTTTGAATGGTTATACCAGGATGATGCTACAGCTGCAGGCATCATTCTGGTATCGTTTTTTTCAGCTGGCGATCGGCTTTCATGTAAAAGCAATCCTAGTGGCTAATTAGATGCAAGATTGCTTTTACAAGCAGCGGGAGATGATCCTCCCCTCCCCCACTGCCTTCCACGGCCTTCTCGGGCAGTCCCGTGCCATCAGGGCAACCTGAGAATGCATCCGGTGTCTCTGCCAGCTGACCATAGAGCTGATTGGAGACCAGAATGTTGCCAATCATCTCTATAGTCTAAGAATTTGAAAGCTACAAGCATTTCATCACTTTAGTTTTGCAGGATATAAACAGCGCCATTTGGAAATTGGGAAAGCATCTGATCACCGATCTTGGTGACATGAGATGATGTAAGGGCAGAGGAGAGATCCAGAGTCTGATAGACCCCAGATTTCTCAACAAAGAATATATGACAATGCCCATTGAAGTTATAGGGGATATTTACATTCCCTGTGATAGCATTAAAAGTGATCCAGAAAAAAAAGAAAGGTACAATGTAAAAATAATTTAAAAAATTGAAATAACTAAAAAAATAATTAAAAGAATCGCCCCTCCCATGCGCGCACACCTGTGTGCACAAGCCTTGACCCTGTGCCGGTATATAAAAAGCAGCTGTACCATGCATGTGAGGTATTGCCACGAACGTCAGATGAAGGGCAGTAATTCTAACACTAGACCTCCTCTGTAAATCTAAAATGGTGGCTTTTAAAGGCTTTTAAAGCGCTGCCTATGGGTATTAAACATGTATGCAGTTTGTCGCCATTGCACGAGGCATGCGCAGTTTTAAAGCATGTCATGTTTGGTATCTATTTACTCAGCATACCATCATCTTTTATATTTTACCAAATAATTGGCCAATATATTGTGTTTTTGTGCATTAAAAGTAAAAAAAGTGTATTTAAAAAAAAAAATGCTTTTGAAAAATCGCTGCACGAGTACTATGGGCCATAAAAATTGTAGTACCCACCATTGTATTCACTAGAGTGTTTGCTTTAAAATATATATAATGTTTGGGGGTTTAAATTAGTTTCCTAGCAAAAAATACTGATTTTTTCATGTGAACAAAAAGTGTCAGAAAAGGCTTGGTCTTCAGGTGGTTAGAAGAGTGATGTGTGGCATAAACTTCTAATGCTGGGCATAGAATGCCCCCACCCCCCAAAATGACCCCTTTTTGGAAAGTAGACACCCCAAATTATTTGCTGAGAGGCATGTTGAATCAATAGAAGAATTTATTTTTTTACCACAAGTTTTTGAAAAATTACATTTTTTTTTTTTTTTACACAAAATTGTCACTTAAATGATTTACTGCTCAGCAGTGGGAGCCAATGGTAAGTATAAGGAGGGGGCTGGGGGGCTGCATGCAGAAAGTTTTTTACCTTAATGCATAGAATGCCTTAAAGTAAGAAACCTTCTCCCTTTAGAACCACCTTCACCATACAATGATCTGCTGGAAGCTCTGTCTGTAACACCACGGATCCCTATGAAGTGTCTCTGCCAGGTTTTATGGCTGGAATGTAGCCGAGATATGGAGTCACATGTCTGCCATGCTCCATCACATGTACCGTAGGTGTCCCCTTCTGTCAGGTTTTAATTCTTTCCAAGTCCTAGTTGGGGAAATTTCCCTTTATTTCCTGCCTTTGTGAGAATGATGATTGGGAAATAAAGAGAAAGGTAATCACTCCTACAGGGACATGGACAGCAATGAAAACCCATTTTTTCATACAGTATAGACCAGGGTTTCTCAACCAGGGTTCCATGGAACCACAGGGTTCCTTCAAAGGTTAAGCAATGTGCAATTTTTTCCTATCAGATGGTTTCCACTGACACCACTGATCTTTAGCTACCTGTAAGGGGGGAAATTCTTCCCAATGACCTCAGGTGTAAGGAGCATTCTTCCCACTGACCATCACACTAATGTATCATGAGTTGTAGATATAGTCATTTTTAGCCGGGGTTCCCTGAGACCGGAAAGTTACTTCAAGAGTTCTTCTATGTTGAAAAGGTTGAGAAAGGCTGGTGTAGACAATCGTGAAATGTTTTAGTGCTTTGCCCCTGTTGGGGAGTGTCACAGACTGCCAGTGCCTCTCCCATCCCCCGTCATATCCCTACACCCCTCCCTTCCCCCTGGCACATTCCGATGTCTGGGGAGCTTCCATGGACAATGGACAATGCTGGGCTGGCTGTTGCCGAGGCAACCTAGCCGCGTCCCACTTGGTTTTAAAAAGTCTTGCAGAGGAAGCAGCCCCCCTCTCTCTGTTCCTGTCCATGCTGCTGGAATCATCTTGCTCCCAGAAAGATGCTGGGAGGCTTGGGTGAGGGGGATCGAGCCTCCCCAGCCATCCCCCCCTGCGCACTCTGCAGACCCCCAAAAGGTCAGGACTGTAGCCCTCTGCCATACCACAGGGTTGGGAGTCTCCACAGCTCTGCATGAGCCTTCTCTGCTGAGTGCCCTGGGAGTTGCTGCTGAGGGATCCTGCACACTATCCGTGGCTGCGTGTCCCTGGAGGTTGTCTGCTGCTGAGTGCTCTGGGAGCTGCTGCTGAGGGACCCTGCACACTGTCTGTGGCTGCGTGTCCCTGGAAGCCGTCCGCTGTTGAGTACCCGGGGAGCTGTTGCTGTCTGCTGATCGCTGGTTGTCCCTGGAACGCTGACCGCTGGTCATTCCTGTCTGGAGCCGCTTGCCGCTGAGGGTCTGCAAGCTGCTTACCGTGAGTGTCCCTGTTGTGCGCACTGACCACCTGTGTCCTGAACTGTCCCCGCTGTGTGCACCGACCACCTGTGTCCTGAACTGTCCCTGTTGTGCGCACTGACCACCAGTGTCCTAAACTGTGTCTGCTGTGTGCACCGACCACCCGTGTTCTGAACTGTCCCCGCTGTGTGCACCGACCACCCGTGTCCTGAACTGTCCCTGTTGTGCGCACTGTCCACCTGTGTCCTGAACTGTGTCTGCTGTGTGCACCGACCACCCGTGTTCTGAACTGTCCTCGGTGTGTGCACCGACCACTCGTGTCCTGAACTGTCCCCACCTTCTCCGTGTGCTCTGTCCTGCCTACGCTTCCGTTACAGGGAGTTTTCTGAATATCGTGTTCCGATAGGCATTGCTAATAAAATAGAGAGTAAAGGTAAATTGGTGAGAACATTTTGATACAGCTAGAAAGACTGCAGAAAGGATCTACCAATCCTGTACAACGGAGTGCTAAGGGGTTCAATAATTCTGTACCAATACAGATCCTAATCAGCATGTCCCTCCAACTCATTAAACACCATAGCTCATTCTACTGACCAATTTTTGTTGTGGATTCTCCCTAGAAGAGTGGGTCTTGTGTCCAAACACCCAACAAATCAAATCATAAATGACTCATTCGCCCCTATTGGACATCCCCACCCTGGGATGTAAAATATTTTACTAGAAAAAATATATATATTTCTAGGGAAATATATCTTATAATTGAATAATTGTAATTCTGAACTACTGAAGGTGTACTGAGTAAGAAATATAAGAATAAACCAACTTTGTTAGATCAGCTACACTGCTGGATATAGATTTCATATTTTCAGATTGATGTTACTATTACCGTTCTTTGTTCTGTAGTGTAAATCGGTCTCAGTCGTGTTTCTAGTCTGTATGTAAATCAGTCTATTGTTTCTATTCTTCCCTCTTTGTTCTGTAGTGTAAATCGGTCTCAGTCGATGTTTCTATTCTTCCCTTCTTTGTTCTGTAGTGTAAATCGGTCTCAGTCGATGTTTCTATTCTTCCCGTTCTTTGTTCTGTAGTGTAAATCGGTCTCAGTCGATGTTTCTATTCTTCCCTTCTTTGTTCTGTAGTGTAAATCGGTCTCAGTCGATGTTTCTATTCTTCCGTTCTTTGTTCTGTAGTGTAAATCGGTCTCAGTCGATGTGTATAAAGTTCTGGTGATTGTGTCTCCTCCTGGGCAGATCTGCCGGTGACTGAGAGGATCTGCTGTGTGCCATGAG